CGTGATGAGCCGACCCGGGATGAACGCAGACTGGTTGACATCAACCAGAGAGGAAAGATGGTCTTTGATCCGATCCGCGATAATCTTGCTAATGATTTTATACACGACATTACAGCAAGCAATGGGGCGGAAGTCGGTGACCCGCGCCGGGGCAGCAGACTTAGGAATGAGAGCAAGGATAGTGCTGTTTATAGACTTAAGGAGCTTACCAGACATGAAAAACTCACAAACGGCAGAGCACAGGTCTTTGCCAACGATATCCCAGGCAACCTTGAAAAATTTAGCAGTGAACCCATCAGGACCGGGCGCCTTGTCATCCCCAATCTGGAAGAGGGCCTGCTTTATCTCAGAGTCAGAAATGGGCACGAGCATCGAGGCAGCCTGATCAGCATTAAGCTTATTAGAAAAAAGAAAAGCGGGATCACGGATGGGGAGAGAAGGATGAGGGGTCCCAAGGAAATTCTGGAAATGGGAGACAAAAAATCAAGAACCTCCACATTAGGGATCCAGATACCGTCAGCATTTTGGATGGTGTCAATATTATTCCTGCTGGTACGACTTTTGACCGATTTATGGAAGAACAAAGAGTTTTTATCTCCCTCACGGAGCCATTGGATCTTGGCTTTTTTGCTTCAGGAACCTTTCCTCATCAAGGCAGGCACTATTATAGGCAGATAAATACCCACAGTGCTCCTCACGGAGGTCCACGTTTTCAGGGTCCCTATCAAGGGCAATCTGGACCCTGTCGAGCTCAAGCCTGATTTTAGAGACATTAGAGAACAGGTTTCCCTGATCTTTGAGGAGCTTACGGATAGGGCCTTTGAGATTTTTAAGATTTAGGAAAACCTTATACATCTCATAACCAGAGAGGTCAGGGCTCCAGCTCGCAACAACGATAGAATTGAAAGCCTCTTTATGAGTAAGGAAATTAGGGAACTTGAAAGGTTTAGGCTTCCAAGGGGACCGGGAGGGGAGGGTAAGAACCGCAGGGCAATGGTCAGAAGACTGGTAGGGAAGAAAGATGACAGAGGCCGAGGGGAAATGAGCAAGGGAATGGGAATTCCCTAAGACACGATCGATCTTCTTGAGGAGACCACCCGTGCCATTGGGGTTCTTAGACCAAGTAAAGAAAAGGCCCTTGAAGTTGATATCCTCAACCTCAAGGTTACGAACACACTCACGGAAATCATCCATACCACGAGGGGGGCCCGAAAAGCCAGAAGAGCTGTCCTTCGGGTCAAGGGCAGCATTGAAATCTCCCATGATGAACCATGGGGCGTCCTTAACGACATGCTTATGGCCCTTTAGAGAAGCCCATAACTGACGACGGGCGATATGGTAATTGTCCGCATACACAAAAGATAAGAAGAGGATCTTAGAGGAATCCCGGATCTTAGCCTGAAAATGCATCACCTGGTCGGTGGCATTTAAGAGCATCATGTCAACATGGTCAGGATTCCAAGAAACAATGATACGAGTTCCTCTAGAGCAAAGAGTGCCATTAGAAGTCCAGGTCCAAGATCCAAAGACTTTCTCACAGATGGGAGGTAGGTTAGAGACAAGGGCGCGAGACTCAAGAGCCGCACAGATTTGGAGATTAGACACACGAATGAGATCTCTAAAAGCTCTCTGGTGAGAGAGATTGCAGAGACCCCGAGTATTCCACGAGGCACAGCTCGTCATTGGGAAACTGGGGAGGGGGTAGAGTCCATCTGCTCGGGCTCCTGAGAAGTCATCGGATCAACCTGGGTATGGGAGATGTCATCGGTAAGGAATCGAGCGGTGTCACCATCGTCCGACTCAACCTCAATCAGCTCATCCTCATCAAGGAGGTCATCCTGATCATGGGGATCATCCTCGTACACAAGAGGAGTAGAGGAGGGGGGAGGGGGAGAGGAGGAGGACCTAGGATCTCTAGGAAGAGACGGGTCAGACAAGACAGAGAAACGGTTGGAAGAAGGAATGGGAGCCTTGGAAACTTTGCGGGAAGGTGAAGAAGGGTTTGAGGGTTTGGGGGAAAGATGGCTAAGGATAGGGGGCCTAGGGGGGGAAGAGGGTCTAGGGATGGAGGAGGAACCCTTTTGGGGGGGCGTAACCTTTGGGGGGGAGCTAGTAGAGGGGCGAGCCCATTTTTGAACGGGTCGGAATTCCTTGCGAGGATGAGCCATCGCTTTAGACTTAGTCGAGACTTTTACATTCTTTCCACTCACCAAAGGAGAGTGGGTGTCCTTTATGGATTCCCCATGTCCACTCAAAATGATCCCTTTACCACGCTGAGAGCTTTTGCTCTTCATGGTTTGAAAACCTTCACTGTCAACTAAAGACTGTTTTTCACACGAGGCATTCTCAGAAGAGGTGACATTCTTGACAGGATTAAGAGAAATAACATGCAAGCAAATAGAGTCGGAATGCCCAAAAATATTGCAATGAGAGCACATAGGGGGCTTCCAATCATATTCAACCCTAAGGGAGTGAAGGGTCATAGTACCGGTGTCCGGATCCGGGATACGAACATTAACAGTTTCTAACCAAGAATGCCTAATG